TCTTCATCGGAGCTATCTCTTTCTTCCGTTGGCATGTATCTTGTCATCCCTCTCTACTCTCTCAGTCCTTTTTTAGCGCAGTCTTAAACTTTCTACGGTTTGCTCGTCGACCTTCATCCTTTTTCATCTTCTTCTCCTTCTATTCTTTCTTTTCTTGCTCATCTTCATTCTCTCGTACACGGGCAAGAGATTGCAAACGGCGGGCAAACGAATATCGCGGGTCATCACCAAGTTCGCGTTTCGTAATGACCGCGTCATAAATAACGTTTGTTTCAATGTTAATCTGCGGCTCGGATCAAATCTAATAAAAGTACAGAGGCGACGCGGAGCAATGCCGATGGCGATTGCCTCTTCTCGTCTTCTCTCTCCGAACGAACGGAGGAGAAGCTTCTCCACGAAGCAAGAAGGAGAAAACCAGCCATAGTCGAGATGAGCGAAAGAAAGACGAAAGAAAGAAAGACGAAGGAGAGAAGGGCTCCTCGGCATTGTTCGCGGCCGCTCGCTCGTGACTCGTGACTCTTGCGACCCGGATGACCCCTAGCCTCAATTACCTCAGACACATCCGTCCGCTCACCCCTTTCCTCTCTTTATCCTTCTCCTCCTCCTTCTTAAACCCCCACTATTTCTTTTCTCGTACCTTCACCGTCCATCCGTGTCTCGTCTTCCTCTCCTTCACGAACACATGCATCCTTTTTCAGCAAAGCCTTCTCTCCTTCGATACTCCTTCGAGCGAGGCAAACCTTTCGAAGGGCCATCGTGATCGCAACAATCGCCGTGATACTAAAATAAGTTAGCTTTAGCTTCCTCCGCTTTTATCGTCTAGACTAGCCTCGACTTCGCGATCGCATTTTTAATCCTTTCTTCGCTTTCCCCAAGTCCTCCTTTAACTTGGGACAAGTTCGATGGAACGAAACGAAGGGTAGAAATGCAGAGAAGAGCATTGAAAATGCGCTTTCAACTTAATTATTACCAACAAGACGAGTCAGCCCACTCGATCGGAGTTTACCTACCAAATATGGATAGTTCTTGAACCTCTTCGAAGCATTTTGTCACCTGAAAATAGAACGCCGTGATTCGGCTCGACTTCGTGGTAAGATCCACGAAGAACGAGTCACACGATAGCGCACGACTTGAGACTGATTTTTAGCAACATAGCCTCTTTCTACGTCCGTTCGATCGCGTGGATTGTGAATTATCGGGTTCCTGTTAGTTGCGTGTCGAGTCTTTACACACACCCTTCTAGAACGAGTCTTCTCTTCACGACAGGACAATTGGCTTCGTTTCCTGATATAGTTTGCGCCTTTCCAAGTGTAACGAACGAAGGAGTCGTGTTCCGATCCGGTCTTCCGCGATAGCTTTCCTTACAAAATTTCATTGACAATCGACGAACCGTTTGCGCAATCAACATTTTTCTTGAATTTGCGAAATCGACCTGTCGTGGAGAGAGAGAGAGAGTGCTCTCAGTGCAAAGTCCTTTTAAAGAAGAATACAGCGAGCAGCGGTTCCCATAAAGCGTAGGCATCGGGACTCGGTCGACGCAATTTGGCAATTTCCTTCCTGCCAACACCGATTGGCGTCGATCGGTAAGCTTCGAGGCTCGATTTAAATCTTTCGAAAGATTCAGCGGTCAGTTGATTCGGTCACGCTTCTCGTCCGGTAACATCCCTCCCACCCTTCGAGCAACAAATACAGAGGTAGAAGCAGCAGCTCGGCATACTCACAGTTTATCCCTCGTACTCGTTCCATCCACCCGCATACTCGAGTCTATCAGGAATACACGTAGCTACATACACGTATATCGCGGAAAGGAGATAGTAGCCAGAAGCGGTAGAAAAGAGAAAGAGAGATAGAGACGCGGGGTGGAAGAGAAAGAGGAAAAGGGAGGGAAGTCGAGTTGCTCGCTTCATAGCCGGCACACAATGGGATCAATATCCCGCTGGGGGATAAACCCCATAATCCCCTGGCATTTGTAGGCCACCTGCAGTCGAGCGTTTCGTCACGGACTCGCCGCACGTTTTCCTCGGTGTCACCCAACCGTCTGGATCATTCCAAATATTTAGACAACGCGCTCGGTCCGCGACTCTCATTGTCCGCAGATCCTTGGAGATTCTCTACATTCAGCGCCAATTCCCTCGCCTTATTTTGTTCCTTTAAAAATCTACAACTACGGTTTCTTAGCCTTTCAAATCGATTCACTTCATATATACTTATGAATTTATATTATCCGAGCTCGATGTTGAGAGAAATGGGGTGGAGCTGTCTCTTTTGACTCGTTGTCGTCATTTCAAAGTCAAGGTCGAACAGATTTGTGGTAAACGAGGAACGACAGTTCGCCTTGTCAAGCTTTGATCGACGAGCTATTCTCTTGCGAGATGTTGGGGACAGGGCGGAGATGAGAAGAAACAAGGATCTCAATCGATCATAAGGCCCGCTCGAAAGATGAGACAGCTTCTCGAACGAGGGATTACGTGGACAGTCGAGGGTCAATGAGGTCCGACTCTCTTCTATCCTCGTAACGCATCTCCGAAGTATCACACCGCCCCGCGTAAACCACCATAACTTCTAACCTCTTCCTAAACAGCGAAAAAATTGGAGGGAGAGCCTAGCATTTCTACTGACAATGTCGACCGTACGATTCTTTTCAAGAAAGATACAAAGTATTTTCCCCTTCTTTTCTTCATACTGCGTCATGTCAAAAGTTACCACGTAACATTGAAAATTTGACGTTCTTTAATTCATCGCGAAAATGCTTTTAAACTTTCCAATACTTTTCTCTTTTTTTTTCTCATAGTCACGTTAAGTCCCTTTCTCGTTCTCATTCCTCTGGAGAACGGTGTTCTTTGTATGGAAGATTGAAAAAAAAAAATAACCATCGGGGAATATTTGGTCGGCAAAATGGCCACAAATCTTAAATGTGTCAAACATACGTAAATCACTCGGTAACCATACCCTTTTGTTCCTTTGATTGGGACTCTTACCTTCATGCGTCTCTCCTTCAAGTCATATTAATATATAAAAGTTTGAATTGTAATGGTATCGCATAAGGGTTTAGATATAGAGATGTAGAGAGTATTCTATTCGCCGTGTTTCATGGCAGCTTCGGAGCAGCCGTTAGAGAGTGCGTTCGCAAATTAATTCAATCAATTAATAGATGCTTAAAATGGGCACGGAGGACGGACCGGCGGCTGCGAGTATCGGCGAATAATTCGATGCATCCGCACGGGTGCCATCGTTCCGCGCCACGCAAAGCGTCGCCTGCGGTTCGGCGCCCTCCTGCTATATATATATATATATATACCTATATATTTATGTACCTAGGTAGCTACACACATGCGTATACGTAGAAATTCTGGTGCCTGCTGTCTACTGCCTGCTACCGCATTTCGAGACTCAATCGATACCAGTGCCATTGCCGGACCGCCATTTTATTTCACGACCAGAACTCCCCCTTTCGCTCCATCCCTCTTTTTCCCTTTTCCTCGGAGGATGGATACTACAGCGACCAAATAAGCTCTTACTCGATGATTCGCAAAATATCGATTAATTGGATCACCTAAATGGATCCGAAACTCCAACGAAATTCTGTTTAGCGTATAGTGTTTTTCCTTTCTCTTGATTTTTTTTTTCGTAAGCTTGATAAACGATCGATAGGACGCGCAGGATGGCCATTCGTTGATCGAGTCGTTATTAGAACCTTTGCTGTGTATCATGGACTAGCAGAAAAAGTGATGAAAAGAAAAAAGCAAAGAATGAGAGAGAGAGAGAGAGAGAGAGAGAGAGAGTTGGTAGGAGCGGGGAAAAAAAGGGCGAGGAAGAAAAAGGTGCCGGCGAGGGAGAAGGCAACCTGGACTGATTGTCAGAAGAGCGAGGAAAGGGAAAGAAAGGAGCGAAGCCGTTAATGTTTTGTGTATTCGAATAAAGAGCCGCGATGGTTGCGTTCGCACGCAAGCAGCCGTACGCTCGGCCGACTAATGGCTTTATAATGCCTTCATTTCGTATTAAAAGGCTCGAGCTTCCAACTCGCGTCGTCCGCGTCAAGAAGTCCTATCGCGAGAATAAGAGAAAAATTTTTGACTCGTGCAACGATTTCGCGAAATTCGAGATCGCGTATATATTCGAGAATGAAAAAAGATCGCGCTTCTCTCGTTTAGTTGTTCCTTTTGAAACATGTAAAAATAACCATGCGCGGGAGCTCTCAACGTAGCTTTACGGCGATTGTCTGAGAGCTGTGCGCTCTTACTCTCACCGCCCCTTGCTTCGATATTTATGCCGACTTTTATGTTAATTCTTTTCATTGTAATGCCCTCCCTGCCATTTTCCTCTGCCGCCCAATGCCGAATGAATGCCATTGGTCTTTCGCGTCAAACGCGAGTAATTTACGGCAAAAGGATCGACTGCTACCAGACTGGAGAAACAGCCGTTTCTCTTTCCACGCGTTCTCCTCTATACCTTTCGAATCCCAACTAAAGAAGAAGTGCTTCTTTCCACCCCCCCCCTCTCCTCCCCGTTCTTATTCGCATAAGAAAAATATTGATTTACGATTATTTTCCAAGAGCCACCCTTATTACCCGATATAATTAGATTGAAGTGCAAGGAGAGTAGAGTACTCTCCCCTCTTTTTACCTACCCAATTATGCGGTCGATTCGAGGATCGCGTGATGATTCCGTTAAACGCGCGCTATCTCTGCACCTTGGGTTAACCAAACCGATCCGCCAACATTTGCTTAAATGCACTCATGCCAGAGTAAGGCAAATCACTGTGTACGCAAGATAATGGCTTCTTACCCGAAAGGTTTACCAACGGACATTGGCCTACGTTCCAGCTTGCAATCCGACTTTACCGTCAAATTGCTCCGATATCTAACCAACAAGTATTGCTCGAAAGAAGAAATACCAATTCTCTTTAGATTAGCATTCAATTTAGTTTGTTAAAGTGCTAATCAATTGCCACTTGCGCCCGGTACAAGAATTTATTAGAATTTATTTACAAGGATGCAGCTTGCACAGCAATGGATATGCATTTTTTTTTTTTTCACAACACAAGCATTAACGATATCAACACTCTACGTTAGTAATAATCGTCGGAACGACGGTGGAAAATTCTCAAAACGACGTTCTTGCGTACGCCTCTCTCTCTCTCTCTCTCTCTCTCTCTCTCTCTCTCACTTTCTTACCACTTATCGTTAAATAGTACACGAATCACCTATCGTCATCGAATGAACGACAATCTTTTGTACTCTTAAATAGAAGCGCTTTTCTTTATTTTATTTCTTTTTTTCATTTTCTGTAACCAATTATTATAAGCGTATCACGAGATCCGAAATATTTAAAAATTTTTTTCCACGCGCAGTATACGGAACCGAAACATAAATAACAATAACGATAAATTGTGAGATGAAATATACAGCTTATTTTACAGGAATGGAGAGCAATAATACTGACAGGTCGCAAATAATCGTACCTACGTTACGCGATAATAGCGATGTAGATCATAACACAGGTTGTGGTAGTAGGTGTATAATTTTGTACACGTACAATTTGCGACCTAAGAGTATTATAACATACCTATGATACAGCTATACTCTTTTATAGCTATTCATATGTACATTTTTATATATATATGTATAAGTATACGTGTGTGTGTTTGACTTTATATATACATGTGTTTCGCATATATGCGGATGTCGCCATACGACGCATCCTTTGTGAATATACCTACGCATTATTTTGGCTTATATCGTTATTTTAAAATTATAAGGAATACATATTTACAACATAACCAAATTTTTTCGTTCATGATTAATACGATATAGTCGTTTTCCCGTCCTCTCATGTTTTCTTTTTTTTTTCTCACTTTTACAAATCGCTTTTTACATCGAGTCGAAGAAAGATCAAATTATGAATAAAATTCATCGATGGACGAGGAGGAGGAGGAGGAGGGAAGGGGGAAGAGGGGAAGGGGGAAGAGGGGAAGGGGGAAGGGGTGGAGGGCATTCCTGTGTCGAGTGCGTTTGAAACAACTTGCTATTTATATCCGTCAAACGAAACGATAAAGATAGTAAGGTTCTTTCAAAAGAGAAGACCACCTTTCCTTTCAGCGTTTCGTCGTTAGAAAAGATAAAGGCGTTTCAGCGGTGACCGAGGAGATCGATGATATGAAAAAGGTTGATACGTAGACAGAAACGTAAAGTAAAAAGTCGACGCGTGAGAGAAACAGAAAACGACTAGTCATTCGACGAGAATCAAGAAAGAAATCCTCCACGGTTGCCAGCATTCTTAGAATAGGTCATGGGTCGCGCAAGAAGACTTCATTCTCTCTTTCTCTTTCTTTTTCTCTCTCTTTCTTTCTCTCTTCCTGCTCTTTCATTCAACAAGCTCAGAGTCGCACATTTTGCTGGCCCCAATGGGACCTTTGCCACCACAATTACCATTCGTCGTTCGGCATTCGCTCTTGCCTCGAATCGGACGTTCATCGTCTTCCAAATTTGACGAGCTTTCACGGCACACGAGCGATTGTTCGTACAACTACGTTAACACGCACTTTTCAATTTTCTTCCTTCCTTCCTTCCTTCCTTCGCACCTGCATCGTCGTCTCGTTCAAAAACGAACGAGGAGAATAAAACAAAATAGCCGCGCACCGGCACAACGCACAACGCATAAAGAAACGTTCGGATGCGAAGAACTTGACAAATTTACGCGACGCAACGCGTAACAAAGTTTTCCGTGTTTCGGAAGAGGTTCCGACTACGAAGGAGAAAGATCCTGGGCCTCTCTGCTCAGACTGTCCGTCGGCGAGGGTGTGGCTCGTCTGGAGGGTGACGGGGAGGGCGAGGGCGCTGCAGACGTCGCCGATTTCGGTGTGCTTGCCGTGTGATAAGGCGAGAATCGATGATGCGCCAGCGCCAAGGCCGACGGATAAAGAGGTCTTGGTGCAGCTGGACCACCGACCACCGAACCCTGCTGAGAACTCGAGGCTGCCAGTTGCTGCTGTTGATGGTGATGAGCGGCCGCGAACAACGTCGGACCTATCGATGACGCCCACCACAGGTGCCCAAGCTGTTGTTGTTGCTGTTGTTGCTGCTGCTGTTGCTGTTGGTGATGCTGCTGTTGTTGCTGTTGCTGCTGTTGCTGCTGTTGATGATGGTGACTCGTTCCAGCGGTAGCAGCGGCCGAAGTAGCAGTTGTACCGGGATACACCAGAGAGGGACTCACCAGTTGAGCGTAAGGACTGACTGCCACCGCTGCTGCAGCTCTGAGCAACATTTGCGAACGAGCGGCCCACAAGGCCTTTTCTTCCAAACTGAGATTGCTAACGGCCCCGGCCTGTAATTGTTCCATCTCGAATGGCAATCGATGCGGAAACCTCAAGGATTGCTGCTCCGCCAACATTGACTCCATCGTTTCCCTGAAAGGGAAACTGCTCGATTATGCATATCATCTTCTAACGTGATTTACATTTTTCTTAATAATGAAAAAAAAGACGGATTAGTAAGCTCACCTCTCAAAATCGGTCAAACGCGAAGAATCTCGGAAACCTTTGGCAAAGGGATTGCTGTCGATCTTCAATTTGGTAATCTGAAAAAGAAGAAAATAGGAAAAGTCGCGATTTTCTGTCTAAGTCGAAGTTTGCTTCGGCAGATGGCAACGACGCGTGGAGGAAAACGGCCGGCTGTTCCTTAACGCTTCGTTTCGCCGATCGGAGAGTCAACGGTTCGTAAAATTAAAAGAAGGCGGCAAAACGATGTCCTCGATATAGCGGAAAGGGAGAATAGCGGGATTGTTCGCGATTCCATCCTTTGAGTATTTCCTTCTCCTTAGCGTCAAATGGATTCGATCGTTTGCTTGACGTAACGCTACGTAATGACCTAGGGAAGCACGCTTTCTGCTCGAAGAACAATCTTTTTGAAATCCGAGATTATAAATCGTAAGAACGAACGAATGAACGAACGAACGAACGAACGAACAAACGTGGAGAAGGGATGGGGAAAACATTTGGGTCGTACGATCAAATAACGCATTCTTCGATTCGTACGAGTTCACATAAATGGACTCTTTATACCAGAGTCGAGTATAGCTCTCAAGACTATGGAGAGCGAATCGAAAATTAGAAAAATGACCGCTCTCGAATTGTAATAGAAATGCGCTTTATTCGATTCGTGGATAAATGTTCGTCGGAGCCTCGACGACTACTCGACTACTCGACTACTCGACTACTCAACTACTCGATTACTCGACTAGTTTGGAACAAAGAGCTCCTCTATCCGCAGGAACCGCACTCCAATTTGGATACTCGTCATAGTAATATGAGAAAGTTTTTTCTAGGTGTTGGAACACAGATTGTCACGTTTGTAAAAGCCACTTTGGAGTCGAGCCGGAATTGGATGAAAAGAGACGAACACCCCTAACGGAAATTCATCCTAAGTCGTCTCGCCCTGGCAAGTTAGGAGTTTCGCGTTACCCAAAGGGCCACCCACGTCGTGGCTAGGATGCTATGACGTTCGTACGACCATAGCACGGATATACAGGTGGCCTTGGTCACTCCGTTTCTTTTCTTTAACTAAAGCTTTTCATTCTCGTTTTCCTTTTCTGCTATCATCTCAAAAAGATCTATCTTCCTTTAAAATCTATTCTCTGGTTAACAAACAAACTCGCTATACATTTTCCGTTTATTCAAGCACGAATAGAAGATGTCATTTTCCGCATTATCCCAAGGTGTCAACATCTTTTAAAAATGATTTTTATTATTCAAAAGAAACGTTTTACCGGTTTTTAATGCTAACATTATTCAACAGTGACCTACATTCGAAGAATGTTAAAATGGCCATTAAAGAAATATTATTAAATAGATAGTGAAAAATGCATAAATAAAAAAAAAAAAAAATTTTCGAAGATCCATTTGACTTTTGTCAAGGCGTCGAAACATGGGACAGCTTGTTCTTCCGGAATTGCGTCTACGACTACTCGGCCGTCCCCTTTTATGTTTTCTTCTTATCCGACACGTTCCTTCTGTCCTCCGCCGACCTTCCGGCAGAAAGAGAAAGATAGGGAGCTCTTGTTTTCGAAGGTCGCGGACGAACGAGTTTATTTGTTTGGTAAAAAGAGACTGACGGCTGTTCGAATCAACAAAAGATAGAGAGAGAAAGAGAGAGAGAGCGAGAGAGAGAGACCCTCTCGTGGCAGCTCTTGCAAAGTAGGAAAAAAGGAAGAAGAAAGAGACAAGGGAGTGAAGTGGGTGGTCCAATTACCCTACGGTTTCGCGCTCACGAGAAGCACGTGCAACCGGTAATAAGACTCTTTCCTTCAAAGCTAAGACTAAGCCGAACTAAGCTCGAAGTGGCTCGGTTTTAGTTACGATCCCGCTGACATCATTAGCCAAACATCTGGCTCGGCACCACCGTCGACGTCGTCGCTTCCACCTCCATCTAGTATTATACCATGTCTCCTCCATTTCTTTCTTTTCTCCTCTCATATGCCTCTTCGCGCTCATTCATTTCTTACAGGCCTACTCCCCTGCCCTTCTTTCAAACTCTCTCTCTCTCTCTCTCTCTCTCTCTCTCTATCTATTTTCTTCTCTCGTCAATTCTTTAACTTCCTTCAGACTTTACGATCTGAAAAGAAACGATTTTCGAGCAGATCAGGTCTTTGATATTTTCTTCTCTCGTCGTTTCATTCTGCCGACGCGATCCTATGATAAAGAGTTCCTTCTTGATCTCATTGATATTTCATTCGATAAAAAGATTAAACTTGGATCTTAGAGAGATCATCGGCACTGGTTGAAAAATCTTTGAATCCGTGTAACCGTAGGGATGGATGGTCCTTACGTAAGGTGTAATCCCGATGGCAAGGATTGGGCTCAAAGGACAGGTAGCCAATTAAGTCCAGCTGCAGAGCGTCGATGAAAATTGAGAGAGAATTTGCGAACACGATGGGCGTTGCTACCTTTCGAATTTGCTCACGGCGACGAGAACTTCGAAAACGACGGTAAAGAAAACTTCGAAATCGTGAAGTACACTTTGCGTGCAAGAAACGTAACAACCAGGAAGTATACCACCAAACTACCACTCGTCTTCTTCCTTTCTGTCCAAAAGGGAAAGAGGATCGTTTATCGATCAGGAAAGAGCACGTCTCACGCGAAGATCGAAAGTATACGACCTTTGTTCTTTACGTTTATCTATCGAAGCTTCCTTCTATTTATCTCTCGTCGTTGGTCTGACGAAACAGCGAGGAAAATTCAAATTTGCCGCATCGAGTGCGCGCTACTTCGCAAAATGAAGCCGTAGGTAATTGACAGAGACGCTTTCACACCCGGGCCTGCCTCTAATAATAGATTTAATAGAGACACGCTCATTGAGGAAGGGGTCGCGCTTCGCCTGCGAGTACCACCACACTGTTTAGTGCCGCTTATGCGCCTCCGCCACGCTCTCCCTCTCTCTCTCTCTCTCTCTCTCTCTCTATCTTTGACTAACTCGCTTTTCTTTATTTGCTAGCCAACAACCCTTGCTACCGACTAATTTAAATTTCGCGCCCGTTTTCACTCGATCAAAGCACATCAATCCATCGTCGTTTGTACGAAAGATAAACAGCAACGAATGCGAACATTTTTTCAAGAAAATACTCAAGGTAGTCGCTGACGAGTTCATTCTTGTTTCTCGTTATTCTTCTTCCAGAGTATCGTCCTCTGGAACGGCAAGATAGAAAGAAGAGAAAGAGAGAGAGAGAGAGAGAGAGAGAGAGAGAGAAAGAGGGGAGGGAAAAGAGCATTGGAAGAATGGCCGTCGGCTCGCGCGAACACCGTGTGTGGCTTCGAGAGAACTACCTCCTCCTCCTTCTTCTTCTTCTTCATCCTCATCTTCTTCTTCATCTTCCTCTTCTTCCTCGTCTTCCGTCCTTTCTCCCA